GCACTGGATAGCTGGCCAATCAGAGCACACCTCGCTTTTTCAGACCGATGAGCTTTGTAAAAATCGACGCGTTTCAAAAAGGCGGGGCATAGAGGAGAAACAATGTACAGTATGTGGAAAATAATGTTTTTTTTTTTACTTTAAACTGCATAAACACATTTCATTACACCAAATACACAAAATAATGTTCTTTTTAGCAGCATCATATGACCCCTTTAAATAATTTGCAGTCATCTTGAGGCACTCTGGGAAGCCCTTGTTGAGAACTGGGGCAAGTTCAAGCTCAAACCAGTGTGCACCGTTTTGCTACAGTTTCCGGTTTGAACGACATGTTTCCTGGAAACGGTGTGCAACGGGGTTTGAGATGTGTTTTCTCTTGTTTGGTGGGTGTGTCAAACATGTCAGCCCAATCAGCAGCAACATGTATATAAACCACGCGGTATTAAAGAGACAGCTGGCACAATGTAGGCTAATTAACATCCAAATAAATTCACAAGAGCAAGTATATTGTTTGCACATTTTTATTTACATTAAGTGGATTATCCTTCACCTGAAATGTTTGTCTTTTCATCCTGAAATGCGAGGCAAATGTTGGATCACAATAATTAGGAACCACAGTTTCCACAAATCCCTTCATTTGATTGGGATGTTCTCTTTTATTCTGGAGGGCAAGGGCAGTGACTGTAACATCGAGCGTATTTTGCAGTATTAAACACGTATTTATACCGATTTAATCAGTCTCCGAAAATTCTTCAAAAAGAACACAAAGATTGGCCTTCTCAGCTGCCATAGTTGCAACTCTTGCGTCATCAGAACAGGGTGTTCAACGCACCACCGTTTCCGTTTAAAAAATGTTTTGCACCGTTTTGTCCGGGCTGAACGCAGCCCTGATTTAGCAAAACAGGTAGCCCCGCCCAAAACCCATGGCATTGGCTGATGTTGGTAGAGAGCCGTTTCTGATTGGCTGACAGTCGCCGACAGAACTCTTCTGCGCTTCTTTCTTTTTTGTTTATAGAACGTAGTCACATACAAGCGTGGTTTTTCACAATTGTATTGATAGCTGTCAGGCAGTAGAGACATTTTATGCATGATATTCAACCTCCCAACCTCCCAAACTCCCCTTTCCCACCCCAAAAAAATTCCAAGTCTTGTGTTGAAGTCACATGAGACTTCCAGATGCCAAAAATTAGTATTTGCCCCCGCTGGCCCCTGAAAGCATTATATGAATCTTTGCCCGATTCATTCATTCATTCACGAATCCTCATCATATTTCGTGTTCAAAATATCAAGGCTTTCCATTAAAACATGCTTTAGAAAATACAAGGATATAATCATCACTGGCATGACTCACCTGGACAGTTACTACAATGTTCAAAGCCAGATCATCAACCATAAAAAAGAAGGGAAAAGGTTTTAAAAAGCAAGGATTACAGGTAATAATTACACTAAACTGAAATGTGTTAATGTTCATGTCATTCAGAGCCTGTAGTGGTCTTTCATCTACCCCACGTGCGTTCAGGGCGTCACAAGGTCAAAATCACTCCGCGTCACGACAGAGACGGAAATGATCTTTCATCCTCATGCGTTCAAGTTACAAAGTTCCCGGGGTATTCCTTTTGTTTTAGCAAAACTAACCATTGTAGCCCTGACACCGATTAAATATTTAATACATAACAGGAGTAAAATTCTTAGGCCTCAATATCATAGAATTTGCTATAGTTAGCATGCAAGCTATACTCACCACTATATTTCAGTTAAGACTGAGCTTTATTATTTTGATAATAAAGTAGTCAATAAAGCAGATGTGACACTGATGCATTATAATTACCAAGCAATGTATGTGATATGCATAATATATCTGTTGCGTTCATGCCCGTTATTCTAATGAGCACCATCAGCATCTGCCATAAAAGTATAAATGTTCTAGAATACGATAGGATTAAATGACAGCTAATTACATGGTAAACGTGCACAATGTTATTTTACAACTCGACAGAACCAACTGATAGCTCTGGCATTACAAAATGATGTTACATGTTACATATCTGCCTCTTTGATCTCATTAATCTGTATATTACCAGGCCACTAAATAGCGTTATGCAGTGTAGTATGCTTATAGGCTTTTATAAATGAGTATAATGCTATAACTGACTTACTGCAGAGTGATCTGGAGGTGAATGAAGGGATACGCGTGTCCGTCAGTACAGCAGACTGAATGATCTAAGAAAAGAAGCCGCTTTTGAGCTGCTGCAGTTACACTGAACTCACATGTGTTCCTCATCCGGGTAACCTCCCCCGCCCTGACATCTGAATAACCCACTATTATAAATGATCAAACAATAGATACGCATTAAGCTCTTAAATACACAGATGCCTTCATTTGCTTTTTGTTTCAATGTCACTCAACATATTTAGTTCACACTGAAGGAACATATAAATAAAATGCGTTAAAATAGCCCATTATATTGTTGTTATGCTCGTTCCGGGGCGTCACGTTCGAGAATTTTCGCAGATTCTATTGGAGAGAAAAAGATGTCAGAGGTCAAGATTGTGCAACAAGAAATGCGATTGCATTTTACAAATTTATTTGATTTTGTTTAAAGTCTTATATATTATATAATATATTGGTTTATATAAGTCAATAAATTCGTATTTTTGTTCTATAATTATTTATTTAGTATTTAGAGTGGGTTAATATATATATACCTTTCTTTTGTTATTTGTAATCAACAATGCCTTTTAAACAAGTAAAAAAATATTTAAATGTCTTTGTGTAACGTTTAGGCGATCGAGGAATATTCTAGCACAGGGGTCGGTAAGGATTAGTTTTTGGCGCATGCGCAGTACCCTTCCGGACATTTCTTCCTCACGTGGATCGCCCTAGTGAAGTGGTCCAGTTTGACTGTCTTATGCTGCTCTGCCGGACGCGCTTTTCATAAAGATCAGTAAAAATGGTAAGACGCGTAAGATAATTTATCTAGCTGCACCATCTGAATGACTTGTTTCTATAGTTATTTGATTTGTGTGACTGAGATAGCGCAATGTTTTATAACGCTCAATAAATTGCAGCTGCAAGGTCACGGTTAGGAATTTATTCGCGCTCTGAGTTCATATAACACGATGCGACGCGACGCGACGCGTGTTACTTAGTACACGTAGTGTTTGTGAGAATGGTTTAAAATGAGTGGTTCGCTGTGAGCAGGAATGGGGATTTCACAGGTAACCCGGTTTGCTATCACTAAATCTTAGCCAATCGTTGGTTTGCAGACAAGTATTGTTTAAAAAGGTGGTATATTTATATTACAACATATTCTGTTTTATTTTATATGACGGTGTGTAGAATGATCATTTCTGTTCATGCGTATAAAGTATTTGTATTGCAGGTACTGTCACATCTTGCATGTGAAAACTCAATATACTTGTATACCATCTTAATTTCTTGAATCAGGTTGTCACACTCTGCTAGCTCCAAGATCATTACAGCCAATAGCGTTTCAGCAAGATATGAACTTCCGGGTCATTTTGAATGGAGGCGAACACATGTGCATTGTGATGTACTGTAACTGATTATTTTGTTTTCAGTTAGATTCAGGCATAGAGATGAAATATTGTCTCAAGAGGGGTTGACAGTTTATTTGTCCGGATTAACCTTGTAATAAATTACCATAGCATATTAATTCATTAAATGCTTACACGTTATTGACTACCAGACAATAACGAAAGACATTTGTGACATGAATTATGAATTGCTTTTAAATGTATTATGAGGCCAGATGAAATGCAGAACTGATTCATTCTAGAATCTTCTACATTCCAAACCATTCAGCCTTGGACGGTTATCATGTTGCCTGTCCTTTTGTCCTTCGGCAGGATAGTAAACATTTACAAAACCTCCAAACTTCTCTCCTCCCCCACATGAATCCTCAACATCTCCTATCCCATCTACCCTCCCTCACACATGACCTTCTCTCAAGGTCACACACACACACACACACACATCTGTTCTCAGACAAGCAGCTGCTCTTGTCTTTGAAACTGTGTGAACAGTAATGGTCAGTGTTTTTTTTTCTTAAAGGTATCCGTTTTTAATGTGCATCTAATTTAGTAGCCTAAAATTTGTAATCTGTATGGGAGGTAAACTAAAGATTTAAATAAGTCAACTGGAGTCAAGAACTTACAGTAGTGCATTTTAGGAAAGCATTACTTAAAGGCCTGCTTTTAAAAGTGACTGTAACCATAATAGTTTTTGATTGATTAATATTATTTGAACACCTTTGGGCATAGATTTACAATATAGCAAAAACTGTAGAGGAAAAGGAAGACTTGAAAAAAATGAAAGGAAATAATTTTCTCTCTTCTAGTCTGCAATGCAGACAAAAAAATGTGTCAATTTTTTTTACAAAAAAAAAAAAAAAAAATTTTGTAGTGTTGAAAAAA